TAATAGGATCATATAGGTTTCAAGTGTGCATTTCTATGATACATGATCTGTATATTGCACTGTGTGCCCACCACCCAACGTTAAATCATCTTCCTCACCATATATTTAGACCCCTTACCCCACTCACCACTCTCCCACCCCAGCCTCTTGCTTATGTCCCACTGGTATCCACCATAATTTTGTCTGTTTATACGAGTTTTAGTTCTATATTCCACATATGAGTGAAATCACATTGTTCTTAGCTTTTTCTGACTGATTTCTTTCACTTAGCATTTTCAAGGTCCACCCACGTTGTCATAGATGGCAGTATTTCACCTTTTCTTATGGCTGAGTAGTATTCCATTGTATATATGTACCACATCTTCTTTATCCAGTCCTCTATCAAAGGACACTTTGGTTGCTTCCATGTCTTGGCCATGGTGAATAATGTTGCAATGAATATAGGGGCGCATGTATTTTTGTGAATAAAGGTTTTCAAATTTGGGGGGTAGATACCCAGAAGAGGGGTTGCTGGGTCATATGGTAGCTCTATTCTTAATTTCTTAAGGAATGGCCATTCTGTTTTCCATAGTGGCTGTACCATTCTACATTCCCACCAGCAGTGAATGAGGGTCCCCTTTTCTCCACAACCTCCCCAACCCTGTTTTTACTTGTCTTGTTGGTAACAGGTGTGAGGTGGCAGCTTATTGTAGTTTTGATTTGCATTTCCCTAATAGCTAGTCAAGTTGAACATCTTTTCATGTATCTGTTGGCCTTTTGTATGTCTTCTTGAGAGAGTTGTCTGTTCAGATCCTCTGTCCCTTTTTTAAATGAATTGTTTGTTTGGTGCTGAGTTGTATGAGTTCTTTATATATTTTGAAAATTAACCACTTGTCTGAGCAATTGTTTGCTAATATCTCCCGTTTGGTCGGTTGCCGTTTTGTTCTGTTGTTGGTTTCTTTTGCTATGCAGAAGCTTTTTAGTTTGATATAGTTCCATTCATTTCTTTTTGTCTTTACTTCCCACATGCAAAAGAATGAAACTAAATTACAGTTTATCCCCATCTAAAAAAATTAATTCAAAATGGACCAAAGACCTACAGATAAGATCTGAAACAATAAATTACATAGGAAACATAGGTACTAAACTTATAGACCTTGGTTGTAGAAAACATTTTATAAATTTGACCCAAAAGGCAAGGGTAGAAATGGGTTTTGGAAAAGAAATCAAGAGTCCTTTTTTTTGCCATTGTTTGTTTGAAACACATAGTAGATATTCACATGGAATCCAAATGTAAACATTGGGAAGGCAATTCTAGAGCCCAGAGGTAAAGACAAGACTGGAGATATATGTTTGGGTGAACTCTGTATAGAGTTGGCATGAAAAGCCACAGGAATAAATAAGCTAGTGTGGGGGGGAGGGGGGGGAGTGATGGAGGACAGAGAAAGGAACACACCCAAGTACGAGGCCCTGGGGTGGCCCAACATTGGGAGGTGAATAGAGAAGAAGTAAGTAAGGAGATTGAAAAAGAATAGCTATTGAGAGTGTGGTGTCAAGGAAGACAAGAGAAGAAAGTGTTTCAAGGGCTCCATTTCATCAAATGCTGCCAGGAGGGTGAGTAAAAGGAAGACAAAGAAGCGACCATTAAACATGGCAATAGGAAGACACTGGGTGGCCTTGATTAGAGCCCTTTCAGTGGAGTGTTGGGGACAAAATTCTGACAGGTGTAGGTAGAAGAGGAACTGGGAGGCGTGGAAGTGGATTCAGTGAGTTTGATGGCTCATTCGAGAAAGAGAACAGAGACGAGTGGCAGCTGAAGGGGAGGCAAAAGTCACCGAGGGGTTTTCAATAGGGCACAATGGAGCGTGTGTGGAAGCCATGGCGAAGTGGGAAGAGGAGAAAGCAAGAGGCAGGGAGAGAAAAGGATAATTGCAGGAGAGAGGTTCTGGGGAATTGAGCAGGATGGGTTTCAGGGTACAGATGAAGGCACTAGCGTTTGATAGGAAGGGGGACACTCCATTCACTGTGCAGGCACGAAGGGCAGGCTGCAGGCCTGGACATATAGGTTAGTGTACGCGGAAGTGAAAAGTTGATTTGGATGTTTCTCGTCCTTTTAACAAAGTCTGCTCTATCTTATAAACGTAAATGTCTCAGGCCAGCTTCCTTCTTTCAGAGATTCTGCTATGGCTTGAGTTATAAGCTGCTCATTATCACCCTCCCTCCCCCTGAAAATCATCGCTTTGTGGAATCCAGAATCTATCTCCTGAGCTCCGTCACCAGCCAAGGCCATGTGACCCCTTACCTTGGTATTAAATTTTGCATTATGAAAATTATATTATTTTCATGTTCCAAACATCCATTTATATCTAATTATATAATTAGTAACTTTTGAAATCCTCCCCTACAGCGCCACTATAAATCAAGTTGCCAAATTATAAATTAATGTCACTTACTTAGTTTAGTAGCTAAAATGCCATTAAACAGCTTGGCTCCTTTATATAGCTTCTTTCTCCGAAGAACCATTTGGAAATATAGTTATAGCCCAGAATTACAAACTCTAAGGACAGCTGGGATGCTTATTTACCATGCAGGTGCCTAGACC